TTTGGCACGTGCAGGTAGTACCAAACCTCGTCGCCGGCGCTAACGTCTCGCAGCGCGGCTTGGCCGCTGCGACGGAGCAGGGCGAAGATGGCGGCGATGCCGAGGAGGATGGCGACGGCGGTGGTGGCGTCGTTGGTCTTGAGGACTCGGAAGGCGTGCATGATGACGGGCTTCGAAGCCCCCCCCGCCAGTGTCAGGATCTGTTGACTGGAAAAAACAAAACGCTCCGCCCCGGCATGGCTCGCACCGGACAAGAACAGAGCGGCATTATTGATTTTCGCGAGAAAAAGAAAAACTCCGAACCTTTTCTTGTGGAGGGTGTGAGTGTGTGTGTGTTATATGGCCGGTGGCCTTCTCGAACCGCCTCCTTTGAGCACGGGGCGATCAGGTCCGATCGGTTTTGAGGGGTGTCCCAGGCTAACCGTATGGTTTCAGAAAAAGAACAACTCCAGAAAGATTAATTACAAAATAGCCTGCGGGGAGGACTCGAGCACATCTGCACTACACATAAATGTCCTTTCACGCTAATCATCTTATCTGATCCGCGCGAAGACTCAAGATTGTGGCCAACTTTAGATTTCGTTGCGGCTTGCGCATGTGGCGGCTTGGATGGCTACCTCCCACCCCGCCTGGGCCACAGTAGCATTTGTCAGAGGTTTGTTCGTGCGTGTCTGGGCCGCTGACGGCACCAATCGTTCTCCCGCCGCGCACCTTCTTCCCCTGGATGCGTCAGCGTGAGGACCTCTGCTAGTGAGGACCTCTGCAGTGAGGACCTCTGCACAAGTGAGACCTCTGCACTTGCTGCACATCCACGCTATACAAATTATTGATTTTCTCGAGAATCAAGAAAAACTCGGCGGACTTTTCTTGCGAGAATTGGCCCTCCGTTTGGAAGTACTGCACATCCACACTGCACAAATGAACCTAGACTTAATCATCCTATCTGATCCGGACGTCAGAGTTGTGGCCATGAACTTTAGATTTCATTACCCTTGGATGGCTACCCCCCACCCCCACTAGCATTTGCCATACGTTTGTCTCTGGGCCCCGCTGACGGCACGAGTCACCCCGCGCACCTTCTGCCCCCGGGGTGGCGTCAGCGTCGGGTGAGGACCTCTGGACTGCAAGTGAGGGCCTCTGCGGCATTTGCATTGAGGACGTTTGTGACGCTCCCGCAGCCGCCCCCAAGGAGGCGAAGACCTACGCACATTCGGACGCGAAGACGTACGCACATTCACCTCCACAAATGACCTTATATGACGCTTACCATCTCATCTTATCCGGACGTCAAGGTGTGGCCAACTTTAGATTTCGTTGCCCCTTCTGGGGGTCACAGTAGCATTTCTCATACATATGTCACTGGGCCGCCGACGAATGAATCACCCCGCCGCGCACCTTCCCCTGGCGTCAGCGTGAGGCCTCTGCAAGTGAGGACCTCTGCGATGAGGACCTAGTTGTGACGGTCGCGGCCGCAGCCGCCCCCGCGGCGAGCGAATCCCGCGAGCGATGCGACAATGAGCAGGCTAAGGACTTAAGTGAGTTAAGAACTCAACAGAACCTGGGGTCTGGACACCAGGTGGTTCAGCATGTAACGCGATTAAAACTACCGTACACACAATATCTTACCCGGACGTGAAGGACTTGTGGCCTTAGATTTTGTTGCCCATGTGGCGGCCTGGATGGCTACCTCCCACCCCGCCTGGGCCACAGCACTCGAGTAGCATTTACCATACGTTTGTCTCTGGCGTCTGGGCCGCTGACGGCACGATTCACCCCCACGCGCACCTTCAACCACTCGGCGTCAGCGTGAGGACCTCTGCAAGATGAGGACCTCTGCGGATTTGCAGTGAGGAGCTTTGTGACGCGTAGCCGCCCCGCACTTGAGCACTTGAGCACTGGATAGGGTCGATTCCGCATGGTACGGGACCCCGCCCGGCGAGCGAATCCCGCGAGGCAGCGGCAGTATTATATATCACTCTGACAACAGAAAAAATCGCTTGAGGACGCCACCGTCGCCTAGACTCCCTTGCGTCACTACGCGCCTGCCCGTGTTTGTAGCCTGGCGTTTGTGCCCCGTTTGTGCCGCGTCCCGTGCCCCTGAGTTCATTTTAATTACCCAAAAAATTCGCGCAGCTGGCGGTAGGCGTGTGTCTTGTGAGCTTGTTTGTGTTTGTGTGTCGCTTGAGCGTGTCGTCGTCATCTGTCTCGCGTCCACCCATACCGCGCTGGTGTCCAGTCCGAGCCTGGCTGTTCTTCACCTACCTACATTCATACATAGGCGTGTGTGTGTGTGTGTGTGTGTGTGTGTGTGTGTGTGTGTGTGTGTGTGTGTGTGTGTGTGTGTGTGTGTGTGTGTGTGTGTGTGTGTGTGTGTGTGTGTGTGTGTGTGTGTGTGTGTGTGTGTGTGTGTCACGTCACTGCATCCTCTGCCGGTTCCTTCCGTCGCCTCTTCTTTGTTCGAATGTTTTTCAATCCATCCTTCACGAAGCCCTCCCATGTAGCTAGCGTTCTTTGCGAATGTCTCGAAATGGCCAGCAGGCGCTGTCTGCTCGCGGTCTGTGCGGGCCGCTCGTCCTCCTCGCCCTTCTTTCGTCCTCCCGTCCCTCCCCTCCACCATGGCCTCCTCGACACTTCTTTCTCCATCCGCCTTGCCCTGCCTTTTCGTATCGTGCCGTTCGCCCTCCATTCGGTGACCTCCATGGCTGTCCGCCTCCTTTTGGGTGGCGCTCTCGATACCGTTGCGTCAACCTTGGAAGTATTCGTATGTTTATCAGTGAAATCTGTACTATGAGAGAGATCGCTTCCGAGCTCTCACGCCGCGCGTAGGGCCCTTAGGGGCCTAGAGAACACAACCCCCTCTCCCTTTTCTCCCAGTAAGCTAAAAGTACGTACGTACAATGATAATCAGATCTACAGGATGAAGTGTGGCGACGATTGTTACAGCCCCGTGAATTGAAACGCACGTCATGTGTACACAACGTCGCAGGTTTTATGTGTCGCCGTAAAAAAGCGCTTCGGGAAATAGCGCGTTTGAAAGCGACCGCAAAGAAATCACGCATAGCCCTGATAATCAGGGCGGCTCTTTTGCTCGTAGCCCCCCCCCCCCCCCTGCTCTGATGCTGCACACCCATACCTTAACTACAAAGGCGAAAGGGCGAGACGGGCAATGTGTGTATGGGGTGAAGAGGCACACAAACTCCATGTGCAAAGAGCAGACGACCTACGCATGACCTTCCTGCGCACATCATCGTTTGAAAACGTGCACTTTCTAGAACTTCTTCCCTGAAATACATCCACATGGCGGCGAAGGAACTGCGAATAACTTCTTGGCGCTCTGCATTTGTCCTTGTTAGTCACATATTGAGGCTCGACAGCCGAAGCGCTGATCGCCGGGAACAAAGTTGGTGGAAGGGGGCGGTACCTCCGAAGAAGAGGTCCTCTCACGAGAGAGGTCCTAGGAGAGGTCCTCACAATCAAGAGGTCCTCACGAGCGGACCACAGCGCCGAAGGCGCACGCGGCCTCTCCTCCAACACAGAACTGCTCTGGGCGGCCAGCACTGACTCAGCACTGACTGGACCCTTAGATCCGCAGAGAGATGCTCGCATGCTAATGAGCGAGACGGGGGGGGGCGCCCCCGGCCCCTCTCGTGAGGACCTCTCGGTGCGTCTATCTAACAAGGACCCTTCGCGGCAGCGCACCCTGCACTCCAACTACCGCGAGGCAGAGGAGGCCACATTCGAGAGGCCACATGAGATCGGCCTCAGTCATTGAGTCGCGTCGCCGGCGATAAAGTGCGCAATTCTGACTAGGAGTTCATCAAAATCAACAAATCAAAACCAACACAGTGTAAAAGAATTTCCATAGAAGCACTCCAAGTGCTCCAAGTGCTCCAAGAAGGAGAGATTTTGCGAGGAGACGGCTTCCCTCTTCACGCACGATCCTTGTTTCCAACACTATTCACCTTCACAGAGCTTCTGTGCTTGGAGGAGAGGCCTTCGGCACCGCCGCCGCTGCTGGAAGGTCCTCCGTCGCAGCGAGGAGGTCCTCACGAGAGGTCCTCACGCGAGTCCTCACAGTGCGGGCCTCTCACCTCAGGTCTCTCATCGAAGTGGCAATCCGACAGACTGCTGAGCTGCTATGTGGCAGCGCAGGCCGCTACACGCGCGGTGGGACGCAGCCAGCGGAGGTGCCACGAGCCCCAGCGTGCCACACACCCCAACATAACCCTCCTGAATGAGCGGTAAGCGACGTGTATAAGAATTTTACAAGAAAAGGCGGTCGCACGACACGATTCACGCGACAGGCGAGGCGCGGGCGATGGCTTCCTCAGAAGCCGTCGCCCGCACCACAGGAGCCCGACCCGAGCAACCCCGCCCCAACCCGACCCGACCCGATCCACCCTGTTGCCTGTATGTAGAGTTTTTGTTGTATGTACAAGAACGCAGTGTGATGTCAGAGCCAACCTCGTGCACAAGATAGTAACAGCTGTCGGAGTCGTCTTCCTCGGCTTCCTTCCGCTCGGCTCTACGCGGTTAGGACGCTAGGATCCGCTTGTGAAAAAGAGCGGTCCTATGCTAAAATTCTTTTATTTGACGCGGGAGGAGTCGCCCCCCCACGGCCCTTCCAGATGCTCTCCCTGCGGCGCGCCTCCTCGCGCTGGCGGCCGGCCTCCCGCCTCCTCTCCACCTCGCCCGCCGACCTCGCCGCCGAGAATGCGCGCTTGCGAGCCGAGCTGTCGGCGCTGCGCGATGCGGCGGCAGCCAACGGAGCGGGCGGGGCTGCCGGTGCAGCCGCCGCCGCAGCCGCGGAGCGCACGCTCTTTGTGGGGGCGCGGTCGAGCTACACGAGCGAGCTTCGCTTCTGGTGCCCCGAGGAGGGCCCTCCTCCCTCTCCGATGCCCTGCTTCCGCCTGGTCGACGACTTGGGCGAGGTCGTGCCGGGCGCAGAGGCACACGTCCCGCAGCTTGACGAGGAGGTCTGCCTCCGCATGATGGAGACCATGCTGCGAGTCTCCGAGTTTGACAAGGTCTTCAACGACGCGCAGCGGCAGGGCCGCATCTCCTTCTACCTCACCTCGCGCGGCGAGGAGGCGTGCTCCGTCGGCTCGGCGGCGGCGCTGCGCGAGGACGACTGGATGCTGCCGCAGTACCGCGAGCTGGGCTCTGCGCTGTGGCGAGGGATGACTTATACGGACATCGCCAACCAGGCCACGGGCAACCGGCACGACCCCGCGCACGGACGGCAGCTGCCACTGCACTACGGGTCGTACGAGCGGAGGATCGCCTAGTCAAGTCGACCGTCGGCACGCAGTGCGAAGCTTCTCTGAACTCTCTCGGAACCTTCTCTCCTAGGATCGTCTATGTCAAGTCGACCGTCGGCACGCAGTGCGAAGCTTCTCTGAACTCTCTCGGAACCTTCTCTCCTAGGATCGTCTATGTCAAGTCGACCCTCGGCACGCAGTGCGAAGCTTCTCTGAACTCTCTCGGAACCTTCTCTCCTAGGATCGTCTATGTCAAGTCGACCCTCGGCACGCAGTGCCCGCACGCGGCAGGCGTGGGGTACGGCATGAAGCGGCGAGATTACCCGAGATTACCCGAGATTACCCGAGATTACCCGCGGCAGGCGTCGGGTACGGCATGAAGCGGCGGGGCGGCGGGCAGGTCGCCCTGACCTATTTCGGCGAGGGGTGCGCGTCGGAGGGAGATGTGCCTTCTGCCTTCAACATCGCCGCCGTCCACGGCTGCCCCACGATCTTCTTCTGCCGCAACAACGGCTACGCCATCTCGACAAACGCCTCGGAGCAGTACTCTTCCGACGGCGTCGCGCCGCGCGGGCGCGAGATTCGCCGAGATGCGCCGAGATGCGCCGAGATGCGCCGAGATGCGCCGAGCGAGATGCGCCGAGATGCGCCGAGATGCGCCGAGATGCGCCGAGATGCGCCGAGCGAGATGCGCCGAGATGCGCCGAGATGCGCCGAGATGCGCCAGGGTGTGTGTTGAGATGCGCGAGCAGTAGCGCGCAGCGCAGCACCAGGCACTGTTCTCTCAATCGCACAGCTGAGCAGGTTCGCGTATGGCATGCCGACGATACGCGTCGACGGCAACGACCTGCTTGCGGTCTACGCGGCGACTGCCGCCGCGCGCGCCATCGGTGCCGAGCAAGGGAGGCCGACCTTGGTGGAGGAGCGATCTCGGCTGTAGCTTGGCTGCATCTCGGCTGTAGCTCGGCTGTAGCTCGGCTGTAGCTCGGCTGTATCTCGGCTGTATCTCGGCTGTATCTCGGCTAGATCTCGGCTAGATCGTGGTGTCTCGATGACGTGCCTCTGTGCCTGACCGTCGCAGGCGATGACGTACCGCGTCGGCGCTCACTCGACCTCAGACGACGACTCAAAGTACCGCGAGCCTTCTGCGCCAGAGGAGGGGTGGGACGACGAGCGCTCCTACTGGGAGGCGCGCTCTCCGATCGTCCGCTTCGGGCGCTACCTTCACCAGCGCGGCTGCTTCAGTGGTGCTGACGAGGAGCGGATGCGGCGCGCGCTGCGCAAGGAGGCGATCGCGGCGCTGTCGGCGGCGGAGGAGGCGGGGAGGCCGTCGCCGCACCACCTCTTCACGGACGTGTGGGACGTGGAGCCGCCGGCGCTGCAGCAGCAACGTGCCGCGCTGCAGGAGCACATGGCGAGGCACCCGGCGGCGTATGACAAGTTCCCGAGTTTTTCCAGCCAGTGAGCGGAGCGTCCCGTCTGTCGCTCTTAAAGAGCCGTACAGCTCGCTCGCCTCACAGACTCGCGCGCGTGTGTGTGTGTTTCTTATTTTACGGCGCCTCTGAGATGTCTCAGGCTTTTGCGCTTATTTTTGGACATCTCTGCCTGGAAGAACAACTGCTCGTGGCCCTTTTTTTCACTAAAGCACATGCGCCGGTGTTGATCGCCGAGAGAGGGACCGGCGGCACGCCAGGGCACGACCGGCCCTGCGGCGGCGGCCGGCGGCGTGGGTGGGGGGGGTGGGGGGAGGGGGCTGGGGCAAATCCTGCGGCGGTTAGGAGCTCGTGGGCGACACCGCACGCGAGCGCACCTGTAGCGTTAGCGCTTAAGGGCCTCCGGAATCTTCCACCCAAACATGGACTTCCTGCAGCCAAGGATGCGCAGCGCCCCCGCGGCCTCCTCCTTCTGCCCGTCCGTGCCGCCGCGAGCCAGCGCCACCAGTGGCGCGATGCCGCCTGCCTTCGCGATCGCCACCTGGTTGTCGGCGTTGTTGTAAGCGAGGCTCGCCAGCGCCCCCGCGGCCCACTTCTTCTGCCCGTCCGTGCCCCCGCGAGCCAGCGCCACCATCGGCCACCTGCCGCTCCACCTCCGCCTCCACAGCGTACTCGCGCGCCTGCAGCCGGTCAAGGATGTCCGCGTCGCGGGCGAGGTTGTAGAATTGGAGCAGCAGGTCGAGCTGGCTGGTGATCTCAGAGTCCAGCTGCGAGAAGGTATTGCCCCTCTTCACATTTAGCGCGTGCCGCAGCCAGCCCTTCTTGCCAAATGCAGCGACCGCCGAGCGCACGTCTTCGAGCAGCCGCTGCAACTCGCGCATCCGGTCCTCGACGCTCGCGCGGCTCGTCACGTCCATGCGTTTCACGTTTTGAGCCATGAGCTGCAGCAGCTCGAGGACGTCGATCGTGCGCTGGGCAGCGGACAGCACATCGTTGATCACAGTTCGCGACGCTTGCACGACTTGAAGGACGCCGCGAGCCGCGCTACACACCGCCGGAATGAGAGGCAGCCCGGCGCCCTCGCCGATCTTGAGCACGGTGTCGACGAGCTTCAGACCCGTTCGGACCTTGTCGAGCGCTCGCCCCGCCGACGCGAGCCGCTCGACACCAGCCTCCATAAAGCTAGATCGGCGGGCACTCAGATACCCGGTACGGCGCGAGGCGTTTCGACGCACCGACGCGCCGTGGCGCGCTCGCCCTCCAGCAATCAGCTGTAGCCTGTAGCTGTACTTCCTGCCGCCAGGAGTGCAGAGATTTCTCTCCCCCCGCGGGGCAGGAAGAGACAGTTAAGAGGCCCAAGCCGAAAATCACACGCACTGACAATCGAGAACGGACAGACATACATTGATTGACTAGTCAGACTTGCAACGCGCGTTTTTTTCAGTCTCAGATCGGCGTTGCATCCTCTGTGTGCATCAGCTGTACTTGTACCGCTTGTACCTCGCCACCCGCCCCTCCGCCGCGAGCCGCAGCAGCTCCGGCGGCACCTCCTGCTTTGCGTCGCGCAGCACCTGCACCTGTTCACAGCCAGACACGCGCCTGTGAAGAGACGCGAAACAGCGCAGAGTTGTGGCCGCCGCGCGGGTCGGCGCCAAGTCGTCGCACATGCGTGCGTCGGCCGGCGTGACCTGCGAGAAAAAAGAAAAAAAAGCTCGATTTGCGGCTCGGACGAATTGTGCTTCCTTTTTTCTCGCCCGGCGTGACCAGCGTGTAGGCGCGGCCGACCTCGCCGGCGCGGCCTGCCAAGAAAGAGAGAGAGATTGGTGAGATGAGACGCTGTCCACACCCGGTCGGCAACCCGCATGGGTTCGGGGGATCGTCCGGGTAAGGGAGTGCGAGCTGAGTGGGTGTGGGTGGGCGGTGCGTGGCAAGACTGGGCAATGCTCGCCGGTGCGTCCGATGCGGTGGACGTACGCCTCGGACGTCTCCGGGCAGTCGACGTTGATCACCGCGGCGACGCCTAAGAAAGAAATCGAGGACGCGTCTCGCGGTGGTATATACGCTAGCTCAGAGACGGCTTTTGACGTCGCGATGCGGAGATGTGGCTGCGTGCAGCGCAAACCAAGAATGGCCGACGCTGTGTCTCGAAATATCTCGGCCTTCTCTCGCCTTTGACGTCGAGGCCGCGCTGCGCCACATCCGTCGCAACGAGCAGCGGGTGCTCCGCCGAGCGGAACTGCTGCAGCACCCAGTCGCGCTCCTCCTGCGGCTTGTCGCCTGTTTACTAATTATTAAATATTAACTAATTTTAATTGCAGGACCCAATCGCGCGCTCCTCCTGTGACTTGTCGCCTGTTCATTAACTAATTAATGAATGTTAACTACTTAATTAAGTCGCGCCCCTCCTGCGGCTTGTCGCCTGTGAATGGGTACTCATTGCTTCAACACTGGCGCGTAATCATCCCCTCCTCCCTGCGGCTTGTCGCCTGTGGATTGGCACCTCACTAGTCTGCACTCAGTCATTCCTCCTCCATCCCCATCCTCTTCCTGCGGCGTGTCGCCGTGCAGCGCGAGAGCCGGCCATCCGTCGAGCCTGGGGGAGATACGGGGAGATATGGGGAGATACGGGGAGATATGGGGGGATGAGGCCATCATCTATCGAGCCCCAGCTCTCCACATATCTCCCCGTATCTCCCCATATCTCGAGCCTCAGCTCCATGGTCGGCTGTATCTCCCCATATCTCCCCATATCTCCCCATATCTCCCCATATCTCGAGCCTCAGCTCCATGGTCAGCTGTATCTCCCCATATCTCCCCATATCTCCCCATATCTCCCCATATCACGAGCCTCAGCTCCTTGGTCAGCTCGTCGCAGCGCCGCTTGGACGACGTGAAGAGCAGCAGGCGCGAGCCATCCACAACCTTAATTAAGTAATTAACATTAATTAATTAATTAATTAATTAAGAGCAGCAGGCGCGAGCCATCCACAACCTCCTCGAGGAGCGTGAGCAGCGCCTCCACACAAACGGTGACGACTCATCACTAACCACTACTACTGTGTCATCCTCCTCGAGCAGCGTCAGCGGCGCCTCCATCTTGCCCGCGTCGTCGCAGAGCAGCACGCGCTGCTCGATGGAGGTGTTGGCGCGGCCTAAACTTGCTCTCACTAGGTCTTCATCAATGGCATCGACCAGCAAACTGCTCGAAGGAGAGGCGGGACACTCGACCTAATGGACACTCGACCATTCACACCACAACTTGTCGACGGATGGTCGATGGGCAGGGCGGCGCGGGCCTATTGACAGCCGCAATTCATCAGAAATGCCCACTGCCAACAGCTGCTCGACGGACAGAGTGGCGCGGCCGGAGGTGGCGAGTGCTCCACCGACCTGCGGGGGAGATACGGCGAGATATGCGGGAGATATGGCGAGATATGGGGAAGAGGCGAGATATGGGGGAGACATGGGGGAGATATGGCGAGATATGCGGGAGATATGACCTCCACGATGACGTGCGACGGCGCGATGAGCCGCCCCGCCAGCGTCTGCACCTCGGCTGGCCACCTAAGGAAGAGAAACGGCCGTCCTTGGTCGCTGAGGAAGGAGAGGACCTTCGTCTGCACCTCGGCTGGCCACGTCGCGGAGAAGAGCAGGCTCTGCCTGTCGTGCCGCATGTGGCCCAGGATCGCAGAGATCTGAGGCTCGAAGCCTAGTCTCCAGGAGAGACGAGATGCGTCGAGATTTGGCCGAGATCTCGGAGATCGCGGGAGATCTGAGGCTCGAGGCCGAGGTCGAGCATCCGATCCGCCTGTTAATTAACGACTGATTAACTAATGTCATTTAGTTAATTAGCCGAGGTCGAGCATCCGATCCGCCTGTTAATTAACTGCTGATTAACTAATGCCATTTAGTTAATTAGCCGAGGTCGAGCATCCGATCCGCCTGTTAATTAACTACTGATTAACTAATGTCATTTAGTTAATTAGCCGAGGTCGAGCATCCGATCCGCCTGTTAATTAACTGCTGATTAACTAATGTCATTTAGTTAATTAGCCGAGGTCGAGCATCCGATCCCGCCTGTTCACAGGTAGAGGCGTGAAGAGATCTCCCCGTATCTCCCTGCACCTCGGCTGTCTCTCGGCTGTCTCACGGCTGTATCTGTATCTCGGCTGCACCTCGGCTGCACCTCGGCTGCACCTCGGCTGTATCTCGGCTGCACCTCGGCTGTATCTCGGCTGCTTCTCGGCTGTATCTCCGCCGCGCCTCGTCGAGCGCTAGCAAGGCGCAGCGAGTCAGCTCTGTCTTCTTCTTGGAGAGCAGCTCATTCAGCCGGCCTGGGGGAGATATGGGGAGATATGGGGAGATACGGGGAGATACGGGGAGATACGGGGAGAGCAGCTCATTCAGCCGGCCTGGGGGAGATATGGGGAGATATGGGGAGATACGGGGAGATACGGGGAGATACGGGGAGAGCAGCTCATTCAGCCGGCCTGGGGGAGATATGGGGAGATATGGGGAGATACGGGGAGATACGGGGAGAGCAGCTCATTCAGCCGGCCTGGGGGAGATATGGGGAGATATGGGGAGATACGGGGAGATACGGGGAGATACGGGGAGAGCAGCTCATTCAGCCGGCCTGGGGGAGATATGGGGAGATATGGGGAGATACGGGGAGATGCGGGGAGAGCAGCTCGTTCAGCCGGCCTGGGGGAGATATGGGGAGATATGGGGAGATACGGGGAGATACGGGGAGATGCGGGGAGAGCAGCTCATTCAGCCGGCCTGGGGGAGATATGGGGAGATATGGGGAGATACGGGGAGATACGGGGAGATGCGGGGAGAGCAGCTCGTTCAGCCGGCCTGGCGTGGCCACGAGGAGCTCCGGCGCCTGCGGGAGATACGGGGAGATGTGTGGAGATATGTGGAGATACGAGGAGCTCCGGCGCCTTGCGCAAGGGAGAGAGTCAGAGAGTCAGATCAGAGTCAGAGCATCAGAGTAGTCTCGACTGCAACACAAGCTCCGGCGCCTTGCGCAGCAGCGCCACCTGCTCCGCCTTCGGCACGCCGCCGTAGACTGCGGCGGTGCGGACGCCGCACGGAGCGCCGAAGCGGGCGGCCTGAGGGTCGGCAACGGGCAGAGGCGGATCAGATATGGGGAGATATAGGGAGATATGGGGAGATACGGGCAGAGGCGGATCAGAGCAGAGACGCTTCCACTTCGCTTGGGCATCTCTGGGCGCGGTTGCAGCTCGGCTCCCTACCTCGGCTGTATCTCTCGGCTGTCCCTCTCGGCTGTATCTCGGCTACTCTACTCTCGGCTGGATCTCGGCTGGATCTCGGCTGGATCTCGGCTGCCTCTCCGCTCTCTCTCCGCTGTCTCTCGGCTATCTCTCGCCTCGCTCTCGATCTGGCAGGCGAGCTCGCGTGTCGGGGCGAGAACGAGGCAGAGCGGGCCCTCCCCCTCCTTGAGCGGCGGCTGTGCGCTTGCGTGCACGAGGGCGGGGAGGAGGTAGGCGAGCGTCTTGCCGGAGCCCGTCTCGGCCAGGCCGACCACATCCCGCCCGCTCATGGCGATCGGCCAGGCCTGGCGCTGGATAGGCGTGGGCGCGTCGTAGCCGGCGGCGCGCAGCGTGCCGAGCACGTGCTCAGGCAGCGACGCCTGCACAAAGCTGCCGACCGGCTTCGGCACGTCCTCGCCGTGGACGACGACGCCGAGCCGCTTCCGCTCGGCCTCCACCTGCTGCTCCGTCAGCGCTGCGACGGCAGGGTGCTCGAGGTAGTAGTCGCGAGTCACGAACGGCAGCGGCGGCTGCTGCGTTGTGTCGCTCGACGGCCCGGCGGCGGCATGGAGCGCGGAGCTCTTGCCGAGGCGCCAAGCCATCTAGGAGAAGGACCGTACAGCGGTCCAGCTCGCAACGATCAGCCGCTCAGAAGCTTTCATGGGCAAGGGAGCGAAATTTCTTTTTTTCGCGCCCCCGCGCCTCTCTCTGATCCCGCCTGTGGTGTTGGGTGCGAGGTCGTGGAAGCTTCGATCCCAAGGGGGGGAGCTGAGCCCACTCGATAACCAACTCTCAGGGGCAGTAGGTGGGCGAGCTTCAAGCGCGCTCATCTCGATCGTCAAGGCGTCGCTACGCGCGGTCTTCCGCGGGGGGAGCGTCGCCGACGGGTGCGGGACCGCGGCGCAGCCAGTGCCGTGGCGATGCCTCCGGCTGCTGCGGCGAGTGGCTTGCTGCTCGCTGCGATGGCGAAAAACTCGTCTCGTGGCACACCAAGGGCTTATGCTCTGTCGAGACGTGAGGCGTATGCGCCCAGGAGGGGAGGGTGCATGCGTAACGACGCTGCTAGAGATGCCTTTCGGGGCCCAGAGATAAAACTTCTGATGCCATGCGTGACCTAGTAGTGTCCCCAGCTATGGGCGTGTCCACGTTGGAGCCAGGTGTGGTGTGGACGCGAGAATAGCTCCGCCGTTCATGGAGGCAACCGATGCGAGTCGACTGGTGTGTGTCGTCGTGGTTTCGTATCAAGAATTCTCTCTCTCTCTCCGCGGCGCCGCGCGCGCGCCGCGCGCGCCAAGCAAAGGAGCTCCGCGGAGCCCCCAGGCGCCCGCCCCGGCGGTTCGCTCGCTACGCGTCGCTCACCGGGGCGGGCGCCTGGCGGCGCCGCTGCGCAAGCGTCGCTCACCGCCGGGGCGGGCGCCTGGCGGCGCCGCTGGCCGCTGCGCAAAAATTAGCCAAAACACAGGCACCACTTGTACCACTGCGCACAGATAATAAAGGGCGCGTGGCAACAATCCGCACCATACACCCACTCCAATTTCCTTTCTATTCCTGTTAGACCATACACCCACTCCAATTTCCTTTCTATTCCTGTTAGCCCAACAGAGTCATATTTCTGTGCGGGCCGCATGGTCCATGGAAGATGCACAAAGGGCTGCGCTGGCTGCCAGCCAGCCGCAAGCACACACGGCTCGAGGCTACAACCGAAGGTGCTTACAGCCTCCCCCCTGGAGAAGTAGACGTCCCTCTGTGCGCCGTCCAGGAGGTGTGCTGCGTATGAATTTATGTGAGGACCTCCATCCATTTGCGAGGACCTCCATTTGTGAGGACCTCCGATTGTGAGGACCTCCGTGCATGTGAGGAGGTGACCCCCGCACGCCTCGCATCCCCCACACTTCACGCCTGTAATGAGCAGCGAGGCATGCACGCGCAAGGCCTTCCCGGAGTACTCTATACAATGATTGTGTGCAAGGTCCTCATCACGTCCTCATGGAGAGGTCCTCACAGGGTGGAGCTGCAAGGTCCTCCAATGCAGAGGTCCTCACTGATCAACACATGACGGGAGAGACCGGGAGAGAGGCGCGACGCGAAGGGCTATAGGCTGGACGCGGTAAGGAGGAGCTTGTGCGCTTAGGGTGGGCCACTCTTGCCGGGAGGGATGTCAAAACTCGCGCCGCACGCGCTCTTTGCGCAGAAAACACATATGTGTGTTGGAGCGCAAAGAGCGGCCCATAAGTGATTAATAACACAAGAGGAGTGCGTACTGTAACTTCGCCTGGATGTGGTCTTGGTGTATGCGTGGACAATCCCTTCTGCACGTTCTTCCCCATTCTCTTCAATTCTTAAATGTGTTTGTGCCAGTGCGCGCCAGTCCCGTGCCCAGTGTTGAGGGGACTTTTTGAAAATCCGTTAATGGCCCGGAATTCTTTTTCCTGTTGTTTCTCTGCCTGCTCCTGCCGTTGAAGGACCTCGTTTGTGAGGACCTCGGCTGTTCGATTGAGGACCTCTTGGCGCCCGGGCAAGGCAGGGCGGCCGACCCTCGCATCTCCCCACGCCCGGGACACGGGGAGGAGCCCCACGGCGCCGTGCGTCAGATGGCGGCGCGTGCGCAAAGTCTCAAAACGCATCGCACTAAACAGCGTTAGAGGGAGAGTTTGTGCGCATCCTAGTGGCGGACACACACGCAGAAGTGGTGAGATTAAGGTTGTATTTCTTCTTTTCGGCGAGCACTACGGTGCTCGCGGATTCGACTGTCCCCCCGATCGTGCCCACCTCTATGAGGACGACGGCGCCTTCTAAAGGTCCGTCGCCGGCTGTGCCTCTTTGGGTACGCGTTGCGGCGTGAATCTTCGTGAAGAGGCGCCGTTCACACCCCATGCGCTGTGATCAGGCGCCGGCCCCGTCCTGCTGCTGCTGCCTTCGACGGGCAGCGAGTTCGAGGCGAGGCGCCCCCTCCGCTCCGAAGACAGCTGTGAACGGCGTCTCTTCACACCGCCAGCTATGAACAGGCGTGGCGCCCCCTCCGCGCCGAAGACAGCTGTGAACGGCGTCTCTTCACACCGCCAGCTATGAACAGGCGTGGCGCCCTCTCCGCTCCGAAGACGCGGTGCGCGGCGAGACGATGTACGAAAACACGCACCAGCTGATGCTGCACAGCCGCGGCTTTGGGCTCGGCGAGCGGGACAAGAGGTGTGGCGGGGGAGAGGCGGTGCGGCAGTGCTCCACGCGCGCGCGTGTCATCAGGCGAGTGGAAGGAGGCGGCGGCGTGGGTAGAGCCGACTGGCGCAGTCCTCGCTCCTGGGCAGTCGCGCACGTGCGGCATATGCGGATGGTCGTCGCCCCGCGGTGTGAACGGCGTCTCTTCACAGCGCGTCGCTGTGAACAGGTACGGCGTGCGGATGGTCGTCGCTCCGTCTGTGCGTGCGGTCGAGGCGACGCTGCTAGCGCTCTTTCCTGTGGGAGAGAGGCCGTGAAGAGCAGCCGTTCACAGCTCGAGGTGTGGGACCAGGCGACGCTGCTAGCGCACGGCATGCCCGTGTTGGTGCGCGGGTCCGGGTCTCTCTCCACCTTGCTTACTCTGCGGTGTCTCTCCACACCTCTGCGCTGTGAACAGGTGCTGCACCCAGGGCCGGTCCTTCCCCTGGACCACACCAACGCCACCCTGCTGCTGCGGCTGCCCGGCAGAGGCGGCGAGGGAGGAGGCGAGGGAGGAGGCGAGGGCGGCGTTGGCGGCGAGGCTTTTCCACTTCCGCTTCCTCCCACGGTCGCGCCTTTCTGCTGCTCTGAACGTGCCGCTCCCTCTCATTAGCAACTACAGATTAGTCAATGACAGGTCACGCCGGCTGCTGCTCTGGACGTGGTTTCGCTTGGCCTGTCCCCGGCCGCTCGCACCGGCCGGGTCGCAAGGTATGCCCCCTTGAACCCCCCCCCCCCCCC